TTGAATGTTCAATTCAATGAGGCCAAACCGGGTAGAATGGAACATTCAATCTGTCTCTGAATGAAATCATCAATCATAAGTCACATTCCAACTTGGCTCATAATACATGTACATGTAATGAACATTTGTTCCTGTGTATGTCGTACAATTTGCTCTAATTGTCGGACAACCTATTTAGATTCTTAAACATAACAACCATTACTTATGAGTTCAGGAATTTCCTCATCTGACCGGAAGACAAAATGGTGCCAGGGTATATGTACATCTTCATGCACAGGCTGTGCCTACCACATGTACACTGTACATGTAGGCACGTAGTGCAACATTTTTGTGTGTGAAGATCTGCCACTGTGCTTTCCATGCAGTACAAAACATGTTTGCATGTTCCTTGACTCCACCGTTGATTACACCACATAATTCATGACACATGATCGGAAACCAGCAAATTAGATGACAGGGATTTTTCAAGTGTAAGTAATAAATAATACATGCCTTTAATTAACGCATTCTGTTGACCAGCAAAATTTATTCAACCTGTGTATATTAAATGTTCAGATGTGACGGCTTCAAAAGTTGGCAAATTTATGGGAGTCTCAAAATTTAAATGTTAATTTCAGATAATCAAGTGGATCTTGGCCTGTAATTAACGTATAGTGAGAGCCTAGAAGAGAGCAGATGCAACAGGAGATGGTCCAGTGACTTTGCCATTAAACCCCTAGATTGAGTTCCACCTGACCCAGTTGATCAGGCAGTTCACAGACCTTCCGGTCTGCAATGGACATTATACCATCTCGAATCAAAGTCAGGGTATCCCTGACATTTTTTTTCTCGAAACATTTAAGGAAGTTCATAAAAATAATAATGCTCCAACACAAATGTGCATGTATATACACATGTGCATGTACATGTATGTACATGTGCATGCATATGTACATGTACTGGTACATGTACATGCACATGTATTAATGCAACTGCAGTACATGTTATAATCTATCAACATACTGGTACCGGTACATGCATGTACATGTACTGTAATTAAAAATTCTGAATTGAGCACCTTTTTAGCCTCAATGCAAAAATCAAAGAAACCTGTCAGATGCCCTCCCTCAATGGACTGAATTTTCACTCTCTGAGTATATATGTAACTACAAATGTATCATGCACATTTTCAACCTCCTTGCGTCATGCTTTTTTTGTCCCAGTCAAAAGTCTGGCATGTACACTGCATATAAGTTACATGTACATGTACAGGTGCACTATGGTCCCACCCATACACCCATCTATCAGTGCAGCAAGTCTTTAAGTTGTAAATTTGTTTCATAAATGTGCTCAATGGAACTGAAAGTGTAAGGACACACCATCAATTCAAAAATTCACAGAAAAAAATCAATGCAATTGTGTATGATCATCATACCATATCATTGTACATGCTGACTATAGGCAATGCCAAAATTCTGGTGAAACTCTGGCTATGTACAATATACCCATACTTCTAAATTTTAATTGTAATGAACTGTCACCATGACTTTCACATTAGGTACCATCTGGTCCCTAACAGACTTGAGACACAATTGTCCACAGTTTGTTAACAATCAATTCGGTGCAACTGATGGAGTTGAAATGTGTTCCACGTAACCATGGATGACGTGGAGGTTTGCTTGGTCTGCTTCATGGCACTTCAGTGAAGAATTTGGAATGGATCATTGATTTACAATAGACGAATACAACATGCATGCACGCATGTTTTGGGCATTAATCCCAGTGAATGACAGTGCCATTTGAACACGCTCACGAAGACTGTTGACAATGTTGAGAGATAAATCCGAAGCTAAAATTTGAAGTTTCAAATGACTTGTTGTGTGCCATGAGCGGGTATACATGTACAGTACAGCGAATGTATTTTTGTGCATAATTTGCAAATCATTGTGCAAGTACTGTAAATGTACAATGTACAT